TTATTGTTGTGTTAAAAATAAGGAATATTAATGGCTGAGAATAATCAATACCGGTAACAAATTGTGTTGCAATGGCATGTTCTACCTGTTGGAGTGTTATTAATGCTTCTTTAGTAATGGACCTGGGGGATTTTGGATTAGAGTCTCCTTTTAATATATCGAAAAGAGGTTTTAACTCTCCTGTGGTGAGCTTTAAGTACGGTCGAAGCCAATTTATGTCTCCCAGTAATTTTTGGAAATCATTTAAAGTTTTTAAATGATCACGACGTATAACGGCCTTTTGATTAATGATTTTGGGTCCATTAATCTGGAAACCAAGATAAGTGTATGGATCTTGTAATTGTACTTTTTCTGGGGCTATTTGTAGTCTGGCTGCTGTTAACTCTTGTTTGAGTTGGGCGAAGCACTGTAAGACTTGTTCGCCAATTTCTCCTGCTATTAAAATATCATCCATATAATGTATAATATACATTTGTGCCCATGTTTTTCTGACTGGCTCTATAGCGGCAGCTACATATTTTTGACACAAGGTAGGACTATTGGCCATACCCTGAGGTAAGACTTTCCATTGATAGTGCTTCATTGGTTGTTTAAAATTTGTAGATGGAAGACTAAAGGCAAATCTTTTCTGGTCAGCAGGGTGAAGGGGAATTGTAAAAAAGCAATCTTTAAGGTCAATAATGATTTTAAAATATTTTTGAGGAATCGCAACCGGTGAAGGCAATCCTGGTTGTAAGGCACCCATAAGGATCATAGTGATATTTACTGCTCTTAAATCTTGTAAGAGTCTCCATTTACCAGACTTCTTTTTAATAACAAAAATAGGTGTATTCCAAGGGGAATTACTTTCCTCAGTATGTCCTGCTGCTAGTTGTTCCTGCACTAACTGTTGGGCAGCACTTAGTTTATCATTGAGTAAAGGCCACTGATCAACCCAAACGGGCTCATCTGACTTCCAAGTAATGGGGTCAGCGCACTTTTGGGGTGCAGGTATGTCAGTGGCCTGAGCTAAAAATTTCCAAACCCCTTTTTATCAAGTTGTCCTGAAACCAGTATAGGCTGTGGGATACCGTTCTCTCCTTTTCCAAGACCTTTACCAGGGGTGTATCCTTGAGTTAACATTTGTGCAGTAACTATATCATTTGGACTACACATTATAATTTTCATTTGAGAGAGCAGATCTCGCCCCCAAAGGTTAACAGGTAGGTAAGGGATGACAAATGGCTTAATGAGGCCTGAATTGTTTTCTTTATCTGTCCATGTTAGGTATTTAGAACTTTGTTTAGGATTACTGCTTTGTCCAATTCCTCTCAAGTGAGTTAAAGTTTCTGTAGTAGACCAATGAGAGGGCCAATCTTCCTGTTTAATGATAGTTACATCAGCCCCTGTGTCTATTAGTCCAGTGAATGCCTTCCCGTCTAACCATAAGGTTAGAGAGGGTTTTTGATTTGTAATTGGTTGCACCCAATATATATCTGATGATCCGAAACCTTTTATATTTCTATTAGAGTATTGGATATTATTATCTGTTTTAACCAAAAGCAGCAGGAGTAACTGAGCTATTCTAACTCCTTGAGGGACAGTAATAATACTATCAATAGCTCTGGCCATAATTTTAATTTCTCCTTCATAATCATTATCGATAACTCCAGGGAGGACTTGTAAGCCTCTCATGGTGACACTACTTCTTCCTAAAAGTAGCCCAAAAGTGTTAGGTGGTAAGGGTCCATATATTCCGGTATTTAAGGTTTGCGGTCCCATTTCAGGTGTTAGTATTGTGTGGGAGGTGGAACTGAGGTCCAATCCTGCACTTCCTGGGGTTGCTCTACTAAGTTTTGAAATGGATTGCTGTTGCTGGCTGGAACAAAGCTGACTGCCCCATATGCTTGTTTCGGGGCCTGAGGCTGGCCCCTCATCCCATTTCCCTGCCTGGGGGGTAAAGGATTTCCTTGACTGTCAGTTTTAGATTTACATTCGTTTGCCCAGTGCCTTCCTCTTTTACACCTTGGGCAAAGGCCTGGGATTTTTGCTTCTGGACTCTTATTTTGGTTTTCACAGCAATCTTTTGCAAAGTATCCCCTTTTACCGCATCTAAAACATCCCCCTTTATCTTTACCTTTGTTAATGAGGAAATCTCTTACTGTTTGGCCGCTAAAAGCGGCGGCCATTGCTAGGCCTTGTTGATATGAGGGCCCAATATCTGAACAAAGGCGAATGTATCCTGTTAAATCTGTTTTCTTTCGATAAGGTCTGATTGCCGCTTGGCAGGCGGGGTTAGCATTTTCATAAGCTAACTGTTTAACATAATCTACACCCGTTTCTGCATTTCCAAAGATTCTACCTGCCGTGATCATAAGTCTATGCACAAAGTCTGAAAATGGCTCATCGGGTCCTTGTTTAACCACTGTGAGCGAGGCCCCTGGATCTCCTTTAACGGGAAGTTTTCTCCAGACTTTTGTAGCAGCAGCCTGGATTTGTGAGAACAGTCCAGGGTCATATTGCATTTGGGCCTGAGTGTCTGCATAATTACCTGAACCAGTTAACATATCAAAATCCCAACCGTTTCCTGCCTGTTGATTTCTTTTAGCTGTATCTCTACAATTTTCAAAGAACTCTGACTTCCAAATTAAGTGGTCTCCCCCAGAAAGAACTGCCCTGACTAAGGTATTCCAGTCTGTAGGAGTGAGCCAATTCTCAGCTACAGATTCCACTATAGCAAGAGTATATGGAGCAGTAGCCCCATACTGAGAGGCAGCAGTCTTTAACTCTTTTATAATAGTAAAATCAAATCCAGTATGATGCCTCCAAGCCTGTCCCTGTTCGTCTATGGTTTCAGTGACCGGAAAAACGTCTTTGGGGGAGGAGTCTTCTCTATGTCGGCTAGCAACTAACCCCCCTCTTGGAACATGTTGTCCAGGCCGCTGAAGTGGGCGCAAGGAACCCTCCATAGCGACTGAGTTAGGTATTTTTTCATTTCCTGTTTTTAGCTTTTGGAGCCTAATTATCAATGATTGATGTAACTCTTCAAGTTTAATCTGTTCTTCTAGTTGAGCAATTTTTTGCTTTAATTCTTCTTTGGGATCTATTGCTGCCATAACAATGGGTGCAGAAGCCTCATTATGTGTCTTATTATATGGGGGTGGGTATGAAGAACAGGGAGGCAAATCAGGGTTGTGATATTTAGCCGCCTCTTCCTCTAAATCATCCCAATTTATATCCGATTGATTAGGCTTATTAATTTCCTCCTCCTTTTGAAGCATCTGTAAAATTGGGTATTTTTTTGGTTTGTTTTCGTGTGGTATTTCTTTATCTGTTACAGAAGGAGACTTGATTTCCTCATGATCACTTTCGAGGGAAATGAGATCTTCCTCTGTATCTTGCGGAGGCTTTGTGAGGTTAGAGCGGGAGCTAACCTTTAAAATATGCTCTGTCTGAGCGACCGCAGCCATGACTTGCGGATTGGCCTCCTTCTTATCTATTAAATCTCTAATGAGGTTCCAATAAGAGAAGGCGGTTACAGGAATTTTTTCTGGCCCAAAAGTATTATAATAGTCCTGAAAACAATCCCCTACTCTACGCCATCTTTCAATATCAATAGTTCCTTCCTGTGGGAACCAAGGGCAAGTGTCTTTTACAAAATCAAAAAATTTAAACAAATCATTACCTTTAACCTTTACTCCTTGTATCTTTAAAGCCTCTTTTAATTGTCCTACATATATTTGATGTTGGCTTAATTCTTGTCCCATTTCGGACGCGTCACTTACCTTCGATTCTGACGCGGCAGGTTCCCGCGGTGATCGGAAGAGTTTGACTCCTTTTGTCTTCGTTAGCGGTCGACCGTCCTTTGGCGTCCTCTTCCTCACGGAGTCCCTCGTTTCCAGGTCCCTGTTCGGGCGCCACGTATCCCGGCCCGCGGGATAGTCAGTGTAGGCCCTGGAGGAGGGGGTGGGAATTTGGGGAACAAGAGACACGAGAAATGGAGACAAGACAGTGCTCTGATCAAGTCTCGTTTAATGGTGGTAATGCAATGCCTTATATACATTTGGAGGGGAAGGGGTTGGGCTAAGGCGGAAATGACCTCATTGCGGAAGGCGTGGCCAGATAGGCTTCGGTTTCTCCGGTCGGACGTCATGTTGCGCCTGCGCTGTCAGGTAGTCTTTTCGCGGGCACGGGAAAAATGAATGAAGAAGAAGCAGGAATAGCGCCATCTTTTAATGGCGGTATTAATACAGGGAAGAAGGTAAATCTAGGGAGAAGGTGTGGGGTGGAAATGAATATAGCTCAGGCGTTTAATCTTTAATTATTATTCGCTATGGCCGGGGCGTGCAGCTCCGGACATCTCCCCAGAGGCAAATGGCATTTGTACGTATTAGAGCATACAGACTTTTATTTTTAATGTTTGAAACGCAAATGTTATCTTACAGAATATCTCTGCACATTATTTTTTATGTAAAAATGTATCTGGGAGATTGTTCATTATCAGTGTGTAAACAGATTCATTTTTCTTTCTAAAGACTATAATTTCATTATGTGTGTGCAATCTAATTTATTTAAATTTTGTAGAATTCGTATTAATTTTTTTCCTCAGTATGAGGCACTAGATTTCTCACATCCTTCAAGACACAGTCCATATTCAAACAAACTTGGCAAAGGTTTTTGGGAATAAATATAAAAGTCACTTTATGTGTCTTTTATGTATAAAGGCATTTATAATAATTTTTCTAAGTAATATCAGTTCATCATTCATTTTTTATATCAGCTTATCCTTCTTTTTTATGTATTATAGAAGCTAGCTATTTGTGAAATAATTTGTAAATATTTTTCCAGGCTTTCATTTATGTTTGTGTATGGTAATTTTTGTCATACAGAAAAAAGTTATAATTTTATGTAGTAGGACTAATTAATTTTTTTTATCTTCTGGGTTTGTGTCATATTCAAACATGTCTTTTTCATTCTGAGGCTGTTAAAATTATCTTCCATTGTTCCCACCACAATTTTATGATTTAGATTTTTACATTTTAAAGATGGATTCATCTGGAATTATTGTGGTGTAAGATACTGTAGAGTAGGTACTATTTTATTACTTTAGTGGAGGTTTTTACTTAGATGCAACAGTTTGGTTGAATTATGAATATTTTCTAATGTTTTAACTGTTTTTATTGTTACACAAAGTCTTAAGTGGAGAGAGAAAAAATGAAGAAATCTGTCTTCTTCCATCTTGTGACTACTGGTGAGGGATCTTAAATTGGTCAGAGAAGAGGAAGAGGAAATGAAGGTCGGTTGTTGAGAGAGTAGAGAAGAAGATACCAGCTAGAAGTTGGAGAAAAAATAAGAGCAAATATTTTCGTGTTTCTCTATTTTTCTCTTAGAGATTGATCTTTAAAGCACTCATTAGTGCATAATGAAATTTTAAATCTAATAAAAAGTATTTCAAATATAAAAGAACATTTTTCTATATCTGATAACAAGATTAAGGTTGTATAAATTAACAGAAGAGAGATAAGAATGAGAGGGTGTTTTTCAATTTGGCAATGCTACTTGTGTAGAATAGAAGATGAGCAATTTTTCACTAAAGCTGAAAATACTTTTTGTTAACATCCAGTAAGTAGGTTTTAAATCTTTGAAGAAACCCTGAGAAATTGGAGATTTTGAAAACCCCATATTATGGGTTGAATTTTTCTCCTCACTCTGTCACCCAGGCTGGAGTGCAGCGGCATGATCTCAGCTCACTGCAAGCTCCGCCTCCTGCATTCAAGCAATCCTCCTGTCTCTACCTCCCAAGTAGATGGGACTACAGGTGTGTCTTTACACCCTGCTAATTTTTGTATTTTTGGTAGAGACACAGTTTCGCCATGTTGGCAAGGCTGGTCTTGAACTCCTGACCTCAAGTAATCTACCTGCCTTGGCCTCCCAAAGTGCTGGGATTACAGGTGTGAGCCACCATGCCTGGCCCTGAAAATTTCTATTTTATGATAAGATGAAATCTGGTTTTCTTCCCGTACCCAATTTAATCTTTAATAAAGGCATTGCAAGTTATATATATTAATTTTTAATTTTTTTTTACTATTTTGGAGATATTTTGTTTATGAGAAGCTCATTAGATGTTGGCATTTAGAATAACTTAAATAAACTTCTAGTATACAATAGGAGAAAAAGTCAGTAATCATAACCTCTTATTTCCTATCAAAGATTATTAGAAGATATCTGTAATGCATCATTCAATATGGGGTATTGGGTTCACATGTTGGCATAAAAATACAAGTTAAATAAATGAAGAATACATGGCACACACAGTAAATAAATATTGACAACAATTATAGATGTATAGTTTGTTACAACTAGATCTGGTGATGCAATATGATAAAAATCTAAAAAAACCCATGGAATCCTAAAAAGGACAAATTTAGAAGTAGTTTAATTCCCATGCATTAATGTGGTTTGTGAGCTGGATATATCAATATAATACATAAAAAAGAGCATTGCATTTGAAGTGAAAAGTTCTGAGATTAAATCTCAATTCTATTAATTTGGAGGCCTTAATTTTCTAATTTGCAAAACACTCTATTTTGCTAGGAGAGTTTCCCTGCTGTGGGCTATTTTGGCAAGCTGCTAAGTCCTACATAGACCCAGTCTCAAAAATTGTGTTTTAAATGCTTCAGTTAAAATGCACAGGGTTACAAGGAAAGCAATGATATTAAACTGCAATTACCTAAGTAACATACAAATTTGCATTTTTGCAATATATAGGCTTTTTAAAATTAACACATTAAATGACAAAAGTCAGCAAAGTGTCTTATAACTGCAATATGTCCAAATTAGTGATAATTTCAATTGATATTTCAATGTTTTGGCAATAACTGAAATATGATACGAAAACATCTGATTTTATTTGGTTACAAAGTTACAAGTACTACTAATATTGTAACAAATGTTATTCGGTTCCTGGCCTATTTCATAATTGAATGGAATGTTGCATTTCAGTTAGAAGCAAGTGAAAATAAAGATGCTTTTTTTTTTTTTTTCTTCTGGTTTACCAAGTTCACAGATCTTAAATTCTTTCTGTGGATCTCGGGATAAGAACCTTTGGGCATTAGGATCTTTAGGTTGTTTTCTCAGTTTCAAATATAATGATTTATCCATGATCCTTCAATTGTTTACATGTTCACATTGCCCAGGACTACATCTATAAAGTTCTAAACTAAAAATGTTATAACAAAATTTTGTCAAATTACCTCCAGCTAACCAAATAACACAATTCTCCTCACTACCATTAGTTAGAAATTAAAGTTTAATTTTTCACTAGTTTTAATGAACATTTCTTAACAAACAAAAAGGTGACCTACCTATCATCTAAGACTGCCTATGTTAGTCAGAGTTCCCCAAAGAAACAAAATCAATAGGATCTATCTTGCTATAGACTAAATGTTTGTGTCCCCTCAAAATTAATACGTTGAAGACAAAATAACATGTTGATGTTATTTGCAGGTTGAGCCTTTGGAAAGTACATAGGTCATAAGGATGGAGCCCCAGTGAATGACATTAATGCCCTTATCAAAAGAGAGGTAGATACAAGATCTCTCTCTTTTTCTGCTCGTCATCATGTAAGGATACCATGGGAAACTGGCATCTGCAAACCAGGAAGAAGGCCTTCTCTAGAACTTACCATGATGGCACCTTGATGAACTTCCCAGCCTCCAGAGTCATTAAAGATATATTTCTGTTGTTTAAGCCACCTGTTATGGCATTCGGTTATAGCTGCCCAGACTAACCAATACACACATACACACACACACACACTTTATATATAAATACATTAACAACATGTAATTACATGGTAATATATAACTATATGAATTTGTGTGTGTGTGTGTGTGTATGTATTTGTACATATAAGGATATTTATTATAAGAATTTGGCTCACCAAGTTATGATGGCTGACAAGCCCAGAGATCTGCGGTTGGAAAGATACAGAACTAAGAGAGACAGTAGTGTAGCACTAGTCTGAGTTTGAAGGTCTGAGCACCAGGAAAGCTATTAAGTTTCAGTCCAAAAGCCAACAGGTTTGACACCCTTATAAAGCTTATTTTTGGGGGGTTCTGAACCAAAGAAAGGAAAAGATCGATGTTGTAGTTCAAGGCGGTCAGATAGAAGGAGTTCTCCCACTCCCCTTTCTTGTGGGAAGGTCATTCAGGTCTTCAGCTGATGAGATGAGGGGCGTCCACATTGAGGAGGGCAATCTGCTTTACTCAGTCTGTCAATTCAATGTTAATTTCATCTAATAACACTCTCATAGACACTCAGAATGATGTTTGACCAAATATCTGGGCATCCCATGGCCCAGCCAAGTTGACACTTAAAATTAACCATCACACAGCCCTATAGCAAAAAATCATTCTTTAAACATCATTGGTATCATTGTAATAATTGGTACATTAGTATACTGTAAAAACCAGGAAAAACAGTGAAATAAATTATTTCTACAAAATTGAACTTACAAAACTATAACTGAAATGAAAGTGACTTAATTTTATTATGGGATATAGACTATGGCATTTTTATTTTGAGTGCTAAACTTTTCTTGCCGTTCAAGTAAATAATCAACTTAGATTTCCTATGCATGTAAATGCTTATGTACGCAGGAGAAAGCAGAATGTGGGGAAATAAAACATTTGAATTATTAAACAGATTTTTTAAATACTTTTAGAAACTGGTCAATGTGTCCTGGCATCACTATTTAACTAATGCAAATATTGACTTATTTTTTTGTTATCTCACTTACATGATCATTTGCTATGAAGTTTTGCCTTTCAGTTTAAAATTGTACTTGCAAAGAGCATGCAGATTTAGGAGTGAGGTAGTGATTTCATTTCAGGTCTTCTATTGACTTGTGGGTGGAAAATTAAGCCAGTGACATAACCATGGTCCTTGCCTAAACTTGCTCATTTTATGAACTGGAATAAAAATTCTTGTTATCAAACATTAAATATGAGGCATTTTGAACTCCTTGGATGAAATTCTTAATATGCATTTACTCAGCCTTGTAAATAAATTTAAAAAATTAATTGACCTGCACAAATTTGTTGCCAACCTCCCCTCTTCCATGGTGCTTAACTTCCAGTAAAATGAAGAAAATTAACATTTCTTCCTACTTGTCTCTCAGATATTAATGCTTATGAGGGTTTAGTAGATCAATGTCTGTTACCTCACATGGATCTATCATAATCCACTGAAGTGCTGAGGAAAAACAATTCACATTAGGATTGAATATAGATTTACGATCACTTCAGGTCTGTGAATTTGGCCTTAAATTCATTACCTTAAAGTAATGAATAATGAAGATTTAGATAATAGTGTTTCTATGCCAGGAATGTTTTTCTCTTAAGGGAAATCCCTAGATAAAATGACCTGGGGGAAAAAAAACTTCTCAAATCTGCAAATTGGGTTCCTGGCTTTTGGGTTATCTGGGCAACTTGGGCTATCTGACTTTTTAACTTTGAAGCTAGTTAGAAACAAAAGCATGAAAAGACAAAATGAACACAGGCTTGAGGGTAACATGCTACTTCCCCTCATCACTGGTTAAATTAGTGAGAGAAGGAAGTAAAGAATGAAGTAGACAAAGAGAGAGGAGGAGAGAAGGTTGTGTGTGGAGTGGGGATGGGGTGGTGGCATGGTGAATTAAGTCCTCTGCAAGGCCATCAGAGAAACTCGGTTCAGTAGGTGAGAAACAGGCTCCAGGAGTATTCCTCAGGAAACTGTGTTGTCCCTGAAGTCCCCATCTTGGTTTGGCTTTCTTGAAGCATTTTCCCTCCCTTCGGGCTTAGGACATGAGGCGACTCAAAAGTTAAGTGCTCCCAGCATGGGTCATGCAACCCTTTTTTTCTATATGCTGTCCCCTCTCCACAAATAGTCCACATGTAGCATCAGATATGTAGTTTAATAGACCTTAACCCTCAAAATAAAATTGTAAGATATATCTAGATAATGCTCACTCTGTTGCCTTCTTAGTTGGTTTACCGCCCCCCTGCCCCTGCCCCTGCCCCTGCCCCCAAAAAAGTTTTTGTGTGGCAGAGGCAGCAACATAAACCTTTAGGGAAAAAAATTCGACTTTTAAATAAATAGGCAAGGCAGAGCAAACTATAGTAGGAAGAATGCAGAAATATTTGGGGGAGTGTAATCTTGAAAGCTGAATGCTGCCCTTTTGATTTACCTGAACAATACAAAACATGTAAATATGTGCTTAAAGGAAACCATGGAAATGGAATGCAATGAAAATACTGAAGTTATATAATAGTGTGTCGGGAATTGGTGGGTTCTTGGTCTCACTGACTTCAAGAATGAAGCTGTGGATCCTCGTGGTGAGTGTTACAGTTCTTAAACGTGTGTGTCTGGAGTTTGTTCCTTCAGATATTCAGATGTGTCTAGAGCTTCATCCTTCTGGCGGGTTCATGGTCTCGCTGTCAGGAGTGAAGCTGCAAACCTCCGTGGTGAGTATTATAGCTCTTAAAGGCAGTGCGTTTGGAGTTGTTCTTCCTGGTGGGTTCGTGGTCTCACTGGCTTCAGGAGTCAAGCTACAGACCTTCAGGGTAAGTGTTACAACTCATAAGAGCAGCGTGGACCCAAAGAGTGAGCAGCAACAAGATTTAGAGTAAAGAACAAAAGAACAAAGCTTCCACAACGTGGAAGGGGACCCCAGAGGGTTGGCACTGGCTGGTTAGGGCTGCCTGCTTTCATTCCCTTATCTGGCCCCACCCACATCCTGCTGATTGGTCCATTTTACAGAGAGCTGATTGGTCCACTTTACAGAGAGCCGATTGGTCCGTTTTGACAGAGTGCTGATTGGTACCGTTGCAATCCTTGAGCTAGACACAGAGTCACAGAGTGCTAGTTAGCTAGATACACAGTTAGCTAGATACAGAGTACCTACCGGTGCGTTTACAAACTTTGAGCTAGACACAGAGTACTGATTGGTGCATTTACAATCCTTGAGCTAGACACAGAGTCACAGAGTGCTAGTCCTCCAAGTCTCCACTAGGTTAGCTGGATACAGAGTACCAATTGGTGTATTCACAAACCCTGAGCTAGACAGAGTGCTAATTGGTGTATTTACAAACCCTGAGCTAGACACAGAGTGCTGATTGGTGCACATACGATCCTCTGGCTATATATAAAAGTTCTCCACCTCCCCATCCAGTTCAGGAAGCCAGCTGAATCCTGCACCAGGGCTGCAGGTGGAGCTGTCCACCAGTCCCGAGCCACGCCTGCACCCTTCAGCCCTTGGGCTGTCCATGGGATCGGGTGCCAGGGAGCAGGGGGCAGTGCCCGTCTGCGAGGCTCAGGCCGGGAGGAAGCCCACTGCAGGGGAAGGAGCTCAGACATGTCGGGCTGCAGGTCCTGAGCCCTGCCCCGCCGGGAGGCAACCAAACCCCCCGTGAGAATTTGAGTACAGTGCCGGCAGGCTGGCACTGCTGGGGGACCCGGCACAACCCCTGCAGCTGCTGGCCTGGGTGCTAAGCCCCTCACTGCCCTGGGCCGTCGGTGCAGGGCAGCTGCTCCGAGTGCAGGGCCCGCCGAGCCCGTGCCAGCAGGAACTCACACTGGCCCGCGAGCACAGCCCTGGTTCCCACTGGCGCCTCTCCCTCCACACCTCCCCACAAGCACAAGGAGGAGGCTCCGGTCCCAGTCATCCCAGAGAGGGGCTCCCACAGTGCTGTGGCAGATGGAAGGACCCCTCAAGCGTGGCCAGAGTGGACACTGAGGCCGAGGAGGCCCCGAGAGTGAGGGCTGCTAGCACTTTGTCACTTATCAATAGTGAGAGGTGACAATGTGCTGGCAGCCCTCACTCTCGGTGCCTCCTCCACCTGGGCATCCGCTCTGGCAGTGCTTGAGGAGCCCTTCAGCCTGCCACTGTACCGTGGGAGCCACTCACTGGGCTGGCCGAGTCTGGAGTTGGCTCCCTCTACTTGCTAGGATGTGTGGAGGGAGAGGCGCAGGTGGGAACCGGGGCCATTCACGGCACTCACAGGCCAGCGTGAGTTGCAATGGGCACGGGCGCAGGCTCCTCAGGCCCCCACTTGGAGCAGCAGGCTGGCACTGCTCGCCCAGGGTAGTGAGGGGCTTAGCACCCAGGCCAGCAGCTGCGGAGGTTGCGCTGGGTCCTCCAGCACTGCCGGCCCTCATGCACTGCTCTTGAGTTCTCCCGGGGCCTCAGCTGCTTCCCTGCGGGACAGAGCTCGGGACCTGCAGCCCGCCATGTCTGAGCCCCTCCACTCTGTCGTGGGTACCTCCGTGGCCCCAGCCTCCCCGACGAGTGCCTCCCCCTGCATTGTGGTGCCCAATCCCATCAGCCATCCAAGGGTTGAGGAGTGCAGGCACAGGGTGCGGGACTGGTGGGCAACTTGGCCTGCAGCCCCGATGTGGGATCCACTAGGTGCAGCCAGCTGGGCCCCTGAGTCTAGTAGGGACTTGGAGAACCTTTATGTCTAGCTAAGGGATTGTAAACACACCAATCAGTACTCTGTGACTAGCTCAAGGTTTGTAAATACACCAATCAGTACTCTGTATCTAGCTAACCTAGTGGGGACTTGGAAAACTTTTCCATCTAGCACTCTGTGTCTAGCTCAGGTATTGTAAATGCACTAGTCAGCACTCTGTGTCTAGCTCAGGGTTTGTCAATACACCAGTCAGCACTGTGTGTCTAGCTCAGGGTTTGTAAATACGCCAATCAGCACCCTGTGTCTAGCTCAAGGTTTGTAAATACACCAATCAGTACTCTGTATCTAGCTAACCTAGTGAGGACTTCAGGACTTTTCTGTCTAGCACTCTGTGTCTAGCTCAGGGATAGTAAACGCACCAATCAGCACTCTGTCAAAACGGACCAATCAACACTCTGTAAAATGGACCAATCAGCTCTCTGTAAAATGGACCAACCAGCAGGATGTGGGTGGGGTCAGATAAGGGAATAAAGGCAGTCTGCCTGAGCTAGCCACTGACAACCTGCTGGGTTATTATTTTAGTGTGTACAATAAATCTTGCCACTGTTCACTCTTTGGGTCCACGGTGGTCTTTATGAGCTGTAATACTCACCATGAGGGTCTGCACCTTCACTCTTGAAGTCAGCGAGACCACGAAGCCACCAGAAGGAACACGTTCTGGACTACATTGTTTAAGAACTGTAACACTCACCGGGAGGTTCTGCAGTTTCATTCTTGAAGTCAGTGAGACCAAGAACCCACCAATTCCAGACACAATAGTAGCTATAGCAAGAACAGAGAGACTAGAAGAGAACTCCCAGTGGCTTCAAAAATAGCAGGCTGAGGCTAAACCAGAACTGTGCTCTATGTAACTGTTAGAGTAAACAAATGTTGCCAGTAGCTGGGCCCAGTAGTCCCAGCTGTTCAGGAGGCTGAGGTAGGATTGCTTAAACGCAGAAGGTCAAGCTCAGCCTGGGCAACATTTGGCAACATAGTGAGACTTCATCTTGAAAATAAAAATAAGAATTGCAGGGATTGATTGGAGTGGGGTCATTTGTGCAATCTTAGAAACACGCATATGTGAGAAACACCTTTTGTCAGAGGGCAGCTATTACGTAACTAAATGTTTATGTAACTAACTGACAATGAAAATATCAGATGTTAAATTTAAATACGTTTATTTTTTAAAAAATAATTTTAATAGGCATATATTGTAGAATTTGAAATTGTTAATTTTTGACTGTGCCATTTTTGTGGTGAGAAAAAAAATTTCGATCTAAGGGGCGTGGCTGAGCATTTGTGGATGTTAAGAAATAACGTATGTAAAATGAAGTTGAAGCCATACTATATTTTCATTTATGTTGATAAGGATGCTTTTGCTGTCTTGAAAAGACATACATGTTACTTCATTAAAGAGAAAGGTCATTTAAAAATGATTTTTACTTTCATTACTGGAGAAAGTAAAAACCAGATCTTATCATATCCTCATTTAATGACATAAAATGGTGCAACAATCTCGGTTTTGCAAATTCAAAGGCCTCTGGCCCTATTTAGTAAACCTGAATGAGTAGAGCAGGCTGAATGTGAGGCACTAGTGATGGATGTTAATCAATGTCTTGCCTCCCCTAGGCATTCAAATTCAACGTAAAAACAAGCAACAACAACAACAACAAAAATCTAGCTAAACAAATACCTCCAGAGGTGCTTGGGATTTATAACATGATATAAAGTAGTTTGTTTTTCATGATCTAGTGCTTAAGACTAGCTCTTCTTTGGGACAATTCAAGACCCTCCCTATACTGTCCCAGCTTACAATGAAACCCCAGGAGTCTTAAGCCAGAGGAATATGTCAGAAAGTGAAAAAGGATTACCCCCTTTTCGAAAAATTCAGCTTTGGAAAGAAGCCAATCGGTGGTGAGGGGTGGGGATCACCATAAAAAGGATTAAGTTGCTACTGATTAGACTGTATGGTAAAAACATTATTTTTCTATTTCCAAAGTGGTTAATCAGTCAAGATAGTTGTAAACACATTAAACAGAAACACTGCCTTGTCTGTAAACTGAAACCCTGACTTGCTTGTAAAGGTTCATACTGGCTTTCCGTTTTAATTGATGTTTAATTTTGTTGCAAAGATCTTTCCATTAGATCTTCAAAGAAACTAGTTATTGAAACATTATTATATGTTTATAACATCTAGCACTGTAGTTGAAAAAAGTTGGAATAACTAATCTTCTTAATATTACACCACGTATTTTCCAGTTTTTTCATAAATGTTAGCAAAAGACGAGATGATCTGCAAAGGAAAAGTGGGGAGCTTTATTTACTGTTAAAACAACAATCTCTAGACTAGGGAGGCACAGATTTTAGTAAAAGTGAAAGCGTATTTTCTGAAGAACAAAGGGAGGGTTTAGCTTAAATACGGAAAACTACCCGCTCAGTTCTCAATCAGGCCTATTTATGCAAATGAAGGATTCAAACTTGTTTAGTTCTGATTGGTCAAAATAGTAGAGTACTGATTGGGTGTTTTCTATGCCCCCAGAACTCTGTCAAACTTTTGACTGGGTGTTTTCTATGCCCCAAACGAGAACTCTGTGACAAACTTTTCTTTCAAAGGGCTGGTGAGGGACGGTTTCCAGCTCGTTTCTCTTGTGTCTGGTTACAGGAACTGTTCTGACTCAGGGTGTAAAGCAAATGTTTGTGGAGCTGCTTTTTCCAAGAATGCACGTGGCTGCTCTTTCTCACTCTAGCAAGGCCACTTGCTTCTGTTTTTAAATTTAATCGTCCCTGTTAACCACAGGGACATCTATCTCCCCTATAGAGCTTGAGTCTTATTTTCCAGTTTTATTTTATATACATTATATTTGAAAGTATTTTTGAAATTATGTCATGCCAAAGAAGCATGAGAGGTTGAAAAATGGATGTCTTGACTGAAAGACAAACATGGATTGAGTACATACTTTATGTGCCTGTTACCACATGTGCTGTTCATATATTTATTGCCTCATTTTCTCACAACTGCCCTGGAGATTGGTAGTCTTCCACGTTTCATAGTTGAGGCCACTGCATCTCAGATTTTTGAGAAATGTGTTAAAAAATACATTTTAATAAATATTAATTAAAAGACCTTTAGTTTGTTTTAGATGTTTGTTTTATTTTTGTAAAGCTACTGTCATTTGTTTTGCATGCCAGCCAACTCTTAGTTTAAGAAATAATAGCCTATATCATCTTATATTACCCAGATCTTGCACTTAGCTGTGTGGTTCACTATGATCCACTGTAGTTGTTGGCCTATAACCTTAAAACATCTAGGAATATGCTTTCAGGAAGAAATGGAGAAAATTTCTTCTCTAGATTTTATTTTTATTTATTTACTTGTTATTTATTGAGATAGAGCCTTGCTCTTGTTGCCCAGCCTGGAGTGCAATGGTGCACTCTCAGCTCACTGCAACCTCTGCCTCCTGGGTTCAAACAAGTCTCCTGCCTCATCCTCCTGAATAGCTGGAATTACAAGCACCTGCCACCATACCCGGCTAATTTTTGTATTTTTAGCAGAGACGAGGTTTCACCATGTTGACCAGGCTGGTCTCAAACTCTTGACCTCAGGTGACCCGCCTGCCTCAGTCTCCCAGAGTGCTGGGATTACAGAAGTGAGCCACCATGCCTGGCCTCTTCTCTAGTTTTTAATAAACATTTTAAGAAGAACAGAATTATACCCAACAACGCATTCTTTAAGTTTGTGGGAAAACTTAATAAAAAAACAAAATGCTACACCTTTTTAGAGACTCAACATTCTTTTAAATATTGTCAGAGTCATCAGAGTTCAAATTAAACCTATGATAAAAAATGCTTTTGAAGCAACAACAGCAAGCAAAGCTTGAATTCTGGCCAGTGCTAGTTATGCTTCAGTGAGCGTCAGAATCAAAGAGGAGAGTTACAATGCAGATTCCTGGGCTCTACCACCCATTAGGTAGGACAGTGTGGAGCCTAAGCATTTGCATTTTTAACGATCTCCAGGGCGACATTGATGCTGCTGATCTGTGGACCGTGTTTTGAGTAGTACTTATTTAGGGATGACCTGGGAAGCATAGTATGTGTTAACAATTTAAATTATGTTTTTCAGAAAAATAATTTCAACTGTACCAGAAGAGCTCAGTGCCCAGAAACCAATATCAGTTCTATACAGATACAAGGTGATGCTGATTATTTCATCAACCATCTTGGAGTTCCCATCGTGCAGTTTGCTTATGAGGACATCAAAGCATTAGAGGTGATTGTTTCTAAAAAATGCAAAACACACACACACAATATAGCAGACCTGCAGAATTTGGTTTTATCCTGGCTATTCAATTTTCATATCAAATAGTTCACTATAGAAAAGAGGCTTCATTTAGAGAGTTATTCTTGCTTTTCAGAGGCTTTGCAATAGTATTTGAAAACATCAGCTCTTTTGAAAAGTGTTGAATTCAATTTAAAAAGATTTATACTGTCACATTTTCACATGGTGCTCTGCAACAAAAAATTTGCAGTAGTTGGATTAACATCAAAACATAATTGTAATCTTCAGTATTCACAGAAACAGATGACATGTGCAATAGATTCTCCTCTCCTTGCCCAAAGGAAAATGCATTTCATGTTCTGTATGGTAATATGAGTCTTGTGGATTAGCTACCCAAAGTTTGTCAATAGTTTGCCTGCTTAGAAAATATAGCACATTTTTGTGAGGATGGAAGGATTTTTTTCCAAAGAATATCACAAAAGCATGATTCACCTTAATTAAGTCTCTGTTCATCCATCTTTTGGACTTCAGTCCTTCTAATCTTTCTCAGAATTATGTCTCAGGAAACTGTTTCTCTGTGGATCTAACCCTGTTGGGACATTTCACCTTCATTTACAAATCATTTATGCATTATTCGGAGCTATTTGAAAACCTCTAGAGTGGCTTGCTTGAGGTAATTATTGCATTAACAAAATAATGGCTGGAAAGTACAGTAAAACCTACCTTGCTCTTCAAATATAAATGTTCCTCAGAAGGGGTGCATAAATTAGGTTTGCATTAGCTCAACTTCAGATATGCAACATCTTAATTATTAACAGCGTTGAGTAATATTTGGCTTTATGTTTCTCTGCAACCACACAGAAAATATTTTAATTCTTATTTATTATGTGTCTAATTCATCTTGGTTTAGTTTTAAGACAAGAATTTAGGGAGAATAGTATAGCCTTGGGAATGAGACGGAAGCCCTGACTCTGACACTTACTAGACAAATTATTTAACATCTTTCAAAATGATTTTACAAATGAAGTACTTCGGTATATTTATGGAATCTATAGAGCTGTGGTGAGGATTACATGAGATTATGCATGTAGAGGGTTTAGCTAAGCTTGAGCAGATAAGAAGACCCCATTATTGCAGTTATTATTGTCTTATTGTAAGTACAACATATGAATGTGATAATTTCTAAACTTTTTAGATATGAACACATCAATAGAAGGCAGGAGTTTGTTAATTGTTGAGGAAAACAAGTTTATCAGGCTGAAGAGGTGGAATTTGATGAGGATCAACTGGAGGATCTGAGGTGTTAATAGGGAGAAGATTTTGAAACAGGGACCAATGAAGTTCTAAGAACAACTGTATTATCCTAAGGCTAAAGTCTATCTACCAGAACTGGCTTAGTCTGAAGGAGTCGATCAGTTTTTCAAATTATTCCCAGAATATCTACCTCACACCATCAAAATAATTTGTATAATTTATCTCCAAAAAAGTAATTAAAATAGAATCCCCTATGCTTTATAACAAATGACCTTGTTGATACTGCTTTAGTGGAAGAATTTTTAAAATGGATTTGTCCCTTACAAAATGTGAATGCTTGAGATGAAATAATTTTGTATGAACTCTCTGAGGAACAGAGTAACCTTTGCTTTCTGTGTTAACCTATAATTGATATTGGTATACAGCTATTAAGAGAAATTTTAAATATTAAAAAAAGGTTTTACCCATGATGTAAAAAATATTTGTCCTATGCCAATTAGTAAAGCAGGTAAGGAAATTAGAGCTTTTATATGAAGTTGCAGTTACAAATATACATGGAAAATAGATTGGTGGATTTGGAATTAGGAGGCCTGAAATTTTAAATCCCTTCATGTTAATGGCCCAGTTACATTGGTTTCTGGGCCTCTGCTTTTTTTAAAAAAAATCTGTATCTTATTAAAAACAAAATAAGGATAGGTGCAATGGTTCATGCCTGTAGTCCCAGCACTTTAGGAAGCCGAGACGGGCAGATTGCTTGAGCCCAGAAGTTCGATACCTGGGCAACATGGTGAAACCTTGTTTCTACAAAATAATACAAAAATTAGCTGGCTGTGTTTGCAGGCGCCTATAGTCCCAGCTACTGGGGGATTAGGAGGGCTGTGATGGGAGGATCGCTGGAGTCCTGGAGGCAGAGGTTGCAGTGAGCCAAGATCACACCACTGCACTCCAGCCTGGGTGACAGAGTGCGACACTATCTCAAAACAAAAACAACAAAAACAACAACAACAACAAAAACAACAACAAAACAAACCCATAATATCTACCACTTATTGCCTATTTACCACTTATTGAGTACTTGCCATGCTTAGTATTTTATACCCCTTGTATCATTTATTATTTAAAACATCACTATAAATTAGCTTTTATTATTAACTGTGTTCAGGCTGAGAATGAAATGGAATTTAAAGGCTAGTAGCTTATCCAAGGTCATAAAGATAATAAATGGCCAAAACAGATGTTCATCTAAGATATGTTTAACAGTAAGCCTATGTTCTCAACTATTGTACTAAAGATTGCAAATTGGAAGCCCAAGGGCAAGAGATAGTCTATCAATATATTTTGTTTGACCTGTACATTATTGAAAAATTTAATTTCTTGAAATATTGTAAACTTTTTCTCCACGGAAACAGTCAACTAAATGGGCACTGCTCACTAGCCTGCCATGTTGTTTGTCCAACAGTGCAGTTAAGAAGAATATTTTCTTCAACACCTGTTTCTATCAAAGATTAGGAGATGAATACTCAAGTAAGGGTCACATGTCTCACCAGACTTGTGTCACTTATAGTATCTGTGTGGTCCCTGTAGGGACTGAGCTCATTATCTCCACACCCATTTTAGTAAAAGAGTTAAAGTGAATAATTTTATAGCTGCTTCCACTTTCAAAGTGATATTTTCTAAAAGAACTATTTTTATTATTATATCCACGGTTTTGAAGAAATTATCTATTTGATACTTATTAGGGTGATTATAATGCAAACCTTCAAATTACTATGTATCTATATATGTTTTGTCCAGCAAGATTGATCATGGATCTATTATGTTCATTTTCAACAACTGAATCATGATAATAGGTGGAAAATTGTACCGTAGGAAAATAAACTAGTGCAATAGAGGCCAATTTTTATGGACACGTCTATAAAACATGATATATTTTTAAATATCTATCCCCAATATTTCAAGCTATTCCACATTTGACACCAATGGCTTTTACCTGTAGTTTCTCTGAATGCAAATGTATTGCATAAAATTGCTTAAAGTCCCTTTGATCTTTAGTTTTTCTTGGTATCTATACTCTAATTTTCCAATAATTAACTTTTACAAATGCATCGCAATCCATGGATTTGCCAAATATTAGAATGATTCCTTCTCATAAAATAGTGCCCTGTTAATTGAAACATCTCCAGTTGTAAGCTTCATTTAAATAAGGTTTTAGATTTATAAACACCATTGCACCTGTTGGGAGAAGCATTCTGTACAGATTAAATACAATGCAGAGATTGTCAAAAAGGAAAAGACAAATGCTTTCTGATTAAGAATGTAATATTTATGACAGTCTGGTGATCCAATGCACATTTCCTCTGTCACTTAGCAGCTGTTTTACATTTTTGTTTCAGATCAGTATATTTATTCTCTATAGGGCATGCCAGAGGGTCCTTCTTAGTATATCAAAAGAGCAATCCATGCCCTAGCAAGCTTCATATCACAAATTGAAGCTCTGATTCCTCACTCTGTTTAACCTTATGTTTTTTTCTCTTCTGCTTGAAACATTCTATTTTAAACCCAATTTACCTCTATAATAGAGCATTTAACATTTAAATAATAATGAGATAAAAGAGTATTATAGCTTTTATATAGCAGGAGTCATGGCATAATTGTTTCAATATCATTTAATAACCCAGGGGCAGAAATTCAAGTAGCATAGGTATTTTGAAACTCTTACTAATTTTTTTTTTAAAACTAGATAACTCTGATACCAATTCTAATTTTTAAAGCAGTATACAGCAGCATATAATTATGCCTCTGTGTGTGTGTGTGTGTGTGTACGTGTGTGTGAACTTTAACATTGAGGTAATTCTATGAGATAAAAGTAATAAAAGTAGTTCATTTGTGCAAACATAATACAGTCACAGTTTGACAATACACATATACACATGTTGAAACAGTGTAACTCATAGTTTTGTGCTGATTTTTCATGTTTTATTCTCAGTAGAATAATTTGTTACTTAAATAAGAGGTCAGTCTTTCATTACATTTTCTATTTGGAACTGAGTCATGATCAATCTTAGGTTAACAGAAATAGTTCCAAAGTCCATTAAAAGTTCTTGATTTAAGGAAACAAAATGGTTACATTTAGCTGTTTGTAGGTTCAAGTGATGTTTTGCAGTATCTGATGAAATCCCTTTAATGTGGGTAACTACAAAATTTATACAAAGTCACTTAAGAATGAGATTTTACCTTTTCTACTTCAACGTGTGCCAATTGAAAACAAGATGAAAAGGGGTTTGTTGGTGTTGTCTCTAGATCATTATCTTTCTTTGTAACTTATTTTTAAAATATGTCTTAAAATATGGTATTTAGACATATGCTGTTATTATTTTCAGATCAGATTTGCTTCATTTAGTGCTGGGGTTCTCAACATTTTGGTCTAAAAATCCATTTACTCTCAAAAGTACCAAAGATTCCTCAAAACAGTTTTGATTATGTGTTAATACCTACATAGTAGAAACTAAAAGTGAGAAAAATGCATAATATTTATTTTAAAATTATTTCATAGTATCAATAACTAAATTAGTATTACCTTATTATAATTATTATCAATATAAATAAATCTAATGCAAATTAATGAAAATAACTTATTTTATTTAAAAATATTAACCAAGAGAAAAATATAAATGAGAAGAGTGATGTTATTTTACAGTTTCAAAAATCTCTTGAAGAAAGGCTGAATAGGCCGGTCG